GTATCCTTTGGCTATCAACAGATACATTGTAGACACTGCTGATGCTTGTATCCATCTCCAGTGGCGTCTCCACTGGCCATTCACGGTAACTAGTGCTTTAAAATTAACCTTGAGTGCTGGTAGATTATTAAGTTTTTTTATATTGGGACGACAGATGTGGACCTCAATCTTATCAGATGTTCTTGCCATATGTCCGTCAAATTAAGTCTGTATGCGCGGTCCCTTAACTTAATTTCTTTTGTTAGTTGAGTTACCACCAGTTTTGGTGTTTGGGGTTATGGAAACAATACCGACTATTTGCGTAGGCCTGGTAAGCGCAGAATTAAGAGTTTTAGTGCTGCAGACGGAGAGTGGACGCGTGGAGAAGATGCCGAAACCACCTCTAGGCACCTTGATATCCCGAGAAAAAATGGCAGCCGCTAACCAGGAGCCGTCAGGTCGGCCGAAATACGCCCGGAGTATTGATTATTGACCAAGATGAGTTGGTATTCGATAAAATAATGGGGGTGGAAGCAGCTCGTCTGCACTAAAAATCCTTGGTCGGAATTATGTTGACGTCCTTTCTAGCTCCGTCATTGGGCAATGCACTGTTAAAACAGCTCCTGCTTAATCATATTCTTGTAGCTTGTGACACACCATTACACAACAGAGTTATATAGGGTAGAGGGGCGCTCACCGATCGTGTTACGGAACTCACTCATCCCGTTTTGCCTTAGGGCTTTCTCTGTAGCCCAACCAGCAGCCGCACAGCGGCGCGTAATACGGACATAGGCACATAGGCCTATAGAGTCATTTGTGTAAAAGGCAAACAGACAAACTTGTTAGGAGCGCATATTTCCCATACTCATCTTATCATACTCATTTACAGGTTATCATAAGACCAGGTTGTCTCGTGACTTTCAGTGTCCATTGGCTGCGATAAAAAGCGCTATCATTATGCTTATATCTTAGTGCTAACTGGGTTCTGTAACCATGGATGTCGGCAGCCATGAAAATTCAGTAATGAATAATTGATACCTCATCTTCATTTATATGGTACATATAAGTAGCAAAACGTGCACAACTAGTGTCGAAACCTTAAATAGCACTTTGTATTTTAACTGTGGTCTAGTCGGACCGCAGGTATTTCAACATATCCAAGGCGACATAGACCTGGAAACGAATAAACCGGCGGACTCGATAACGCGAGAAATTGAAACAATACTTTAGCAGTGGTGCCCCTATTTAAGTAATGCATTTATAAGCATGACTGCTCTGATGACAACCATAAAAGAGTGGTCCCATGATCGAGCATTGGTTATGCAAAAATCATTAATCCAGTTTCTCGATACAATCCAATGAGTATCCTCAACAAATCCCATTGTCACTTCTGTAGCAAAATTTGTGTTACAAAGTCCAAAGTAAAAATTTGTTCCTTAGGACTGACTAAATGAATAAAAATTACTGAACTACTTGTGACAAAATCTTCACAAAGACAGTGGAGGCCTAACATCGCAATTATAAACCATATGTCCGACCAGAGAGGCCAAAGTACCGATTTATTTCAGTACGGTTGGCTAAAGCAAGCGCTTTTTATGTTTGACAGTGAGCTAAGGGAAGGAGTTTACTTTTACGGGACGTGTTGCGTCGTTTGCGAAAAATGACATTTAGCAGTCTCTGGATACGATTTGAGGATCACCATCACATTAAGAAATTCGCGATTGAACTTACAGTAGATGTGCTATCTCATGAAAGTTGAACCGGAATTCTGAAGTGCGACTTCGGTTAAAAAAGATTACTCAAGTATTTTCGTAGGACTAATTGTGGCACAGCATAATTTCAATATGCTTTAATCACGTCAGAATCCCGCCCTTTGAACGAACTTCTCTTTGGCCGCTTACAACGATTATACTCTGCTAAAAATGACTACTCGATTAGTACGAAATTTTTAAATCAGTTTTTTGTGTCCTTTTACACCTATGTATAATTTTTACAAAACAAGCTCAAAAATGATTTTTCTTTTTGTGCTTATTTTGTAGAAAATTACGTCTTACTCAAATCTAATACTTGAAGAAGAGGCGTCATTCTCTTCTAAGCAAGTTTTTTATTATGAGATTTCTTCAAACCGCTAAATGTCTACCCACAAAGCATCGTATTCGCCTATTTATTAATGTCGTTTTCTTCCAGAGAAGATATACAACTTGTAGTCTGGGAGCCCTGAATACAGGGAAAAAGCAGGTCAGTCTCGAAATTATTCAGAAATTGAGAAGATTTTGTGAAACCAAAGGATACTCATTTGTCAAGCAAAAAATCCAGAGAACACGTAATATGCTTCCAAATGAGAACAAGAGGACAATTTTTGCGCATGTTTTCTATAAAATGTGTTTGAATTTATAACGGTAACAAAGATTAATAAGAAAAATTCCCACTGCTCAAGTAATCATTATTTACGAAGTTAGGTTGCTGCAAGCGGCCGAGAAGAAATTCGTTGAAAGGCCGACATCTTGACGTGACTGACTTATCTTGTGATTATGCCGCACGACACTTTGTCTCACGACCCTACCTAAGTTGACTTCTATAATTGAAGTCAACTTTTTGAATTCCAGATAACATTGCATGAGATAGCACGACTACGTGCGTTTTGAGCTTCTATAATTGACCGACAGACTGATTCGTGCATCCTACCATCCCACTTTAATGGAGATATAGAAAATCAATAACTAAATCCAAAACGCAAGATAGAATGAAAGCCAAGGTCGGAAAGCTCATCTGAATGAGCCGTCTACCACTGGAGTCTCCGCACAGCTTAACTAAACGGACCTCGATTGTATATCCAGAATTTTAAGACAACTCCCTTTTGACAGAAAGGCAGAGATTTTTATGTCGTGCGGAGTCTACGTTTTAAAAGTGCTGCGGGTGAAAATATAGCAGTAGGTCATCTGGTTTCGATAAAGAGGTATATACTAGCAGTGATTAACGTCATGACAGTGGAAGCAAAAGCTCAAAACGATTGTCAAGGCGAGTAGCACGGACCGTTATATCGTATTGACGGCTCGTAACACTTACTGCGTTGAAATAATTTCAATCAACCATTTCGATAGCACACCAAATTTTGCTCACACAAAAAATATTCCTCTAATAGAAAAATCACCTGCAAGAGTTTTAAACGACACCAAGGAAATCGAACGCATCCGGGGTTATGATATGCTCGATAGCAAGTAGTGTAGAAGTCTAGACCGAAATTGATGAGACCATCAACAAGGACTCACCGTTCTGGCGTTTCGCACACCAAGCTCTGTTGCTCAAGTAGTGGCCATCTTCGGGATTACAGGAACGTGTGTTTCGTTTATTTCGAGTCGAGGATGCTGCATACCGGGCGTAGGGTGGGGTTCCGAGTAACTGTTTACAGGCTGCAATGAAAAGACATGAGCTGTTCATAATGACGGAGGAGGCTGAAAAATTGCCAATGTTTCTGCGACAAAAAATACCTTATGTTAAAGTATTTATTTAAAATATCCTTGGTTAGAATCCTCCTAGTTTTTAGACATTTTTCGAAAATTTTTTGTGCATCTGGCTCCAGAATCTCTAAATACACAACAGAATGCTCGCAATTGACAGCCCCAATCCTATTTAGCCTAAAGTGCACCGAAAGAACTGTGTTTTGATCTACAGCAGCTAAATGCATAAAAAAACAAACTACTAATTTTCAAGTGCTGCTTCACATATCTCGATTGGCGAACGCTTGTTGAGGCCTAAAATGCCGAATTGCTGAAGCGACTGGACTAGTGTCAAACAAGATCTCATTGAATACATTGATGTTTCACACTAGTGTTTATTTCTCTTTTTGATTTTGCTTGAGGCCTCAAAGCGAAATTAGTCCCCAGAATATCCCCAACAATGTACATTTCACGGGTACCCAACTATGTTCAGTTCTTTTAATCAACCTCAGATATGTTACAACGCACAGTTTAACTCCTACCTTGGTGTCGGGGGGACTGAACAGACCTGCTCAATTGTTTTTAATGAGTTCCGTATGAACGATCGGTGAGCGCCCCCTAACATTTTAATGAGTCTCTATGGTTTACAGTAAACGCCTGTTAACACCATGCGTGAGTGCTATTTTGGAATTTCCCTCATGTGGTCGTCTTTTACTTTATTCGATTGTCCACGGTCAGCAATCGTAGAAAAAAGAGTAGAAAAAAGAAAGTATATATGAGGCAACTTAAGAATGGGTTGAATATGGAAAAAGACACTCGCAACGAGGTCAGTAATTTATTAATTGGATTCCCCCTTCTGTGTGACGCGTCCTCTTACAATTTTAGCACCAAAGTGTACTAAATGTGAATGTCTTCAATCATATGTCCATCAGATTCTGTTTAAATGTAAGATTTTTGACGGATTTACTCGAATATCCATGAATATGTTAACGGAAATGAATTAGCCAATAATGTTTAGAAGTAAATAATCTTCATCAAATGAACCCTTTTGTAAACGCCATGCCCACTGAATTTGCAATGAATTGATGGTGAATAGGCTTAATTCACATATCGCATTTGGCCTTATTAATAAAATCAGTAGAGTGTTCCCTATTAAGTAGTCTTCGCAATTTTAATTGAAGTTCTTGGAGCTCGAAGGAGAAAACGCTTACAGTAGATTCAGAACAAGGGATAGTGACAGCAGGATGAACGTGAATATTGGTGACAGTTTTATATACCCCTATCTCAGTCGGTTGATTAAATTCGCGCTCATTAAAACATTCTTACGCTGGCAGCCGATAAGTTCAACGCGCATGCTGGGGTGTCCGTTCCATGCGAAGGGATGGATGCGCACATAACGGGCTATGACGGGGTAGTCGAGGTAAGCGTGCTTTACTTGGAACGAGTCCGTATTCCCATCGAAAACCTGAAAAGTAAGCATGGGAAGGCGCATCCATCAATCAGCAGCTTTAGAGTAAACGGGTTGCTATTCGCCTCTCGGGCGTGCTCATTTTTCTTACGCTTTGTTAATGTAGTCTAAAAGTAGTCAAACCTAAATTCCAGTACAGGCCGCTCAAACATGCCACAGTCAAAACACCTCGACCCGCGCCACTGCTTATGATCTTAAACAGAAGTACGGGCGAGGTAATTAGGCCGTGCCCCCCTTGTTCATATCACAGTGGTTTAAAATGTAGCATTGTTAATCTAAAGGCTGGAAGTCTAACCATTTTGGCGTCGACTACCAGCCCTCTGACTGGTGACACTGAAAAAGACAGGGGACCCCAAATGGCAAGGTTTGCCTTATTTGCTTTATATCGGATTCCGGCAGGGGAGCGCACTACCTACAGTAGGTGGGCTAACTAATGAAATGTCAACCGAAATTCCGAAATGCGTTTTCGTTTCGAAAAGATTAATTAAGTAGGCTTGTAAAACTAGTCAGCCTGCTATATAATTCTATAACATTTCAGTTGCCTCTGGATGCCGGCATTTGAATGAACTTCCTTCGGGCTGCATGCAAAAACTACTCTCTTTAAAAATGACTTCATATTTGCTTGCATTTTTCTCAATCATTTTTGATGTCCCTAAATGTCTAATTATATTTCATGGAAAACATAAATGAAAATATTCACACTTTTGCTCATTCGGTAGAAAATGACGTCTTCCAATTTTATGTTCGAAGGAAGGGTATATTTCGGTGTTTAAAAACTTTTCCAATTTCCGAATAATTTTGAACCCGTTCTACCGTTACACTTGGATTCAGAGTTTCGAAACTAAAAACCGGGTATTTTCCGCGTACGGAAAACCACACAGTTCTCTACCGATATAAAGGGGGACTATATAGGGTTCATAAAACTTAGAAGTGGATTTGATCCATGTTGTTAACTTTACAGGCCACATTGGTAAATGCAGAGACATGACGATTTATGAATGGCCATTTCACGGTATTTAAAAGTTCCACAATTGAAAACTTTTTTAAAACTGAATTATGTCCCTCCTTTGAGTATAAAATTAGAAGACAACGTTAGTTTCTACCGAATGAGGAAAAGAATGAATATTTTTATGCATGTTTTCCATGAAATACAATTGGACTTTTAGGGGGATCGAGAATCAATGAGAAAAATGCATTTTACTTAAGCAATCGTTTTTCACGGATTGTGACTTTTGCATGCAGACGGACGGAAGTTCATTGGAAAGCCGGCATCCTGAGGCAACTGAAACATTATAGGATTATGTTGTAGGCTGACTAGTTTTACAACCCTACTGAATCAATCTTTTCGAAACGAAAACGCATTTCGGAATTTCTGTTGACATTTCATGAGTTAGCCCACCTACTCTTCATAGCTAACAACTTCAAATGCTTAAAAGATTAACGAACATGCCCCTATAGCCATGACGCCCAAAACCGGCAGTCAGTTAACTGCGGTACCTTTTATAAGGCACCCAGTATATTGGTTAAGAGAAAAGCTGGTAATTTTGTGGCAGGCGTCATTCACCTCAGAGTTTCTCTGAATGAAAAATAAGAGACAAGCGCTTCGGCGGAATGTGCGTGTTAGCATTATGCATGATGCCCAGATAAAGTCCCTTGTCATTTGCCCATTCCCCCGAATTCTGTTGGTATCCGGCTTGTTCGGGACTTATTCTAGAACCATGGAAGTCATTGTCGCTTTTCCAAATGCAGTCAACGAGTGTCTCAACTCCCCCCCCATGATTACGATATCTGTCTCGTGAAAGCTTAAGCTATTGCTTTCGTGTTCATTAGGAATTTGAGTTATGAGGTTTGCCCGCCGCCCAGGGAGCCTTCAAATGCGCCAGCTGGGTGTGCATGCATAATACCGCGAGATGGGCGTTCACCGATCAAGTTGTGGGACACACTGTCCCCGTTGCGCCTTGGACCTCAATCTAGTGTTTTCGCAGGCAGTCACACAGAACCCAGTAGGAGGGGACACTGACAAGGACAAGCGGACACTGGGATGGTCATATATACGCTTGTGTGGGCGTGCGATAAAAATCAGTCCTCTGAAAAGGACGCAGCGTCAGTACGCGGAAGCTTAGATATGGGCGCTGGATGCAATAAGAAACGCATATTAAGTGCAATTCTTTTCAACGATAAGTGAGTTTTAACTGAAGGTCTCGGGTTTGACAATGGCATTACGAACCACTCGCTAACGTTTCTTACCTAAGGTGATGGATGTACAGGGGGTGGGCTAACTCAGGAAATGCCAACCGAAATTCCCAAATGCGTTTTCGTTTCGAAAAGATTAATTAAGTAGGATTGTAAAACTAGTCAGCCTGCAACATAATTCTATAATATTTCAATTACCTCAGAATGCCGGCTTTAGAGCAAACTTCTTTCCGGTCGCATGTAGAAAGCACATTCTTTAAGAAATGACTACTTAATTAGCATGAAGTTTCCTCATTGCTTTTCGATGCCCCTAAAAGTCCAATTATAGTTAATGGAAAGCATGCATAAAATATTCATTCTTTTGTTCATTCGGTGGAAAATTACGTCTTTTTCTAATTTTATACCCGAAGGAAGAATATAATTTGGTTTTTAAAAACGTTTCCAATTCCCGGATAATTTTGAACCCGTTCTAACGTTACCTTTGGATTCAGGGTTTCGAAACTACAAGTCGTATATTTTCCGCGTACGGAAAACCACACATTTCTCCACGGTAATAAAGGGGGACCCTATATCGTTCATAGAATTTAACAATGGATTTGATCCATATTGGTAACTTTACAGGCCACATTGGTAAATGCAGAGACATGACGATTTATGAATGGCCATTTCACGGTATTTAAAAGTTCCACAGTTAGAAACTTTTCTAAATCCGAATTATGTCCCTCCTTTGAGTGTAAACCTGAAAGAAGATGTAATTTTCTACCGAATGAGTAAAAGAATAACTATTTTTGTGTATGTTTTCCATGAAATATAATGGAACTTTTAGGGGCATCGAAAATCAATGAGTAAAATGCACCCTACTTAAGTAGTCGTTTTTTATAGAGTGTAGTTTTTGCATGCAACCAAAGGAAGTTCTTTCGAAATTCGGCATCCTGAGGTAACTGAATTATTATAGAATTATATTTCAAACTGTTTAGTTTTGTAACCCTACTTAATTAATCTTAGCGAATCGAAAACGCATTTGGGAATTTCTGTTGACTTTTCATGAGTTAGCCCACCTACCGTACTTAGCACAGTGGCAATAAGACGTCGCTCTTTTGATTTAACATGTGAAGTCACGCTTTATCAGCGATGTTTCCTTCATTGTAGGACTAATTGGCTCCATGTGTAACAGTTCATTTGACATCACTTTTGAAAGGGCGATTTGCTCTATTATGATGAGGAGGACGTATTTATACACTTTTTTCTGCAAAAGTAGCGGGTAACATTGCAGTGACGCGGTTTCGTGAAAGTGAATCACCGCCCTACTGGACAGTCTTGGGTGAAACTGTGGCAATAACATCTAGATGTTGCTTACCTGTACGTTCCCGTACTGGTTAAGTATCGCTGTCCAGAAGTTGCCGTCGTTGCTGAACGAGACAGTGAACGAGGACACCCACTCACGGCCGTCGCCACGACCCTGTAGAAGAATACCGGTGATCTGAAAACGATTAGAAAGGGAACTGAAATGACTGTTACCCCTGTGAACAGTGGTCCAAAGTCTGGACTACCGTAAGAGTCCCTACATGAATCTTGACTAACGTGGTTTTAAGTACCACGTTGTGTGTGGCACATGTAGTCTAACTTTGTTCACCACCGCACTCTACAGTTCTATCGTCGTTGCCGGCGATGTCCACTGCGTGATCCACTGAAAGGTGAAGCAGACACGGTGACTTGCACGTGAATTAATTAATTGTGATAGTGGACTTGCGCAGCAGTTACCGCAGTCTATCCTCCCAATTTCCCACCGGCATCCGGTGTCAAGACAGAGTCTGGAAGACCGGGGGCGGTGGAGGGCGCAGGTGGATGGCGCGGTCGAGCCTGCACGTCCGCGTTCCACTCCATCCCCCCGGCCCCCATAGGAAATGACCAGGTTTTTGAGCAGCAACTACAACATCACCCCAACAGGGATTAGAAGGACAAGGATGATGACCGGGCAGCCATCCCTACCACTTGCATACCCATCAGGAGCGCAAGCGCATCTACCGGCAGGGAACTGCCAGCCCGTACCAGACCGAGATAGCGACAGTTTGATGATACTGGCGTAGCACACGCTTGCAGACCTTTTGACCGCTGCACTTACACACAGGTTCGATCTTCTTGACTTGATCTTTCATCGGACTGCGGCGGATGCCGGAGGAAAAGTTAAAGTAAATGCATAGCAAGGCTGCCCCACTATAAACAAATAACGAGCGCTTCGTGAAACAGTGTCGGACCCCGTTACTTGTGGCGGCCAAACTATAATGACGGGCTTTTGCTATGCCATGAGCACTTAAACATCACCTACAGTAGTTATAAATTTAAAGGAAATCCACTACATTTTCTTGCACACTTGCAGTACAACAGGAACAATAGGAAGTGGTAAAACTTATTTTCGTCGAATGTAATATATCGGACAGAAAACAATAACTGTCAAAAAAGAGGGGGCGTTCACCGGGGGGGGGGGGGGTTATTTGAGGTCCGACGTTTCGAGTAGTTCATTCGTCTACCCATCTTCAGAGACTGGAAAATCCTGTGCAGAGCTCCCCTTATAATGTCGCCGTCAGTCATCTCCGCGGCCGACGGGGGCGATTCAGGTCACGGTGACATGCGGGTTGGATGCAGCCACACAGGCGGCATTGGCGGATCACGCATTGGACAAAGGGCACCATTATAAGGGGAGCTGTGCACAGGACTTCCCAGTCTCTGAAGATGGGTCGACGAATGAACTACTCGAAACGTCGGACCTCAAATAAACCTCTTCCGGTGAACGCCCCCTCTTCTTTTGATATACCACCTGGGAATCGTATTTTCAGTACTATTGATGTTAACCGTAATTGTGCTTGCTGGTCATATGAGCGTTAATGAGTGAGATGGTTAAAAATGATTTTTTGAGGAAGTTGTCGGATGCAGGTGCCGCAAAAGATAAATATAAGATTGCGAGGAGAGTAAGAAAATCTTAGTGAATTAGCTGAACACGCATACATTTCGTTATCTGCAGCTAACAGAATTTTCATGGCCGGTGTCTATTCCAATTTCCACCACACACCTACTCGGAAAGTTGGACAGGGTATGGCGTCGAAAATTGAACTACGATCGATCCAGAAACGACTGGTCTCACTAGGCAAACACGGACGTTAATGTGAGAGTCTAACCGAAAAAAATGAGTGAAATGACGCAAAGTTCGGAAGATCAACCCTTCCAACTTTCACTTATCCAAGCACACTTAAAAATCGAATTCAAAGGTCAAGGGTAAAGAGCGAATGGAATGAGCATGCCAATAATGCGGGTGGTCTCTTGAACGTAGGCAGACGTAGCCAAAAACTTTAACCAGTCTGAGGGCAAGGAGAGAAAACGCAGGCGTAATAGCCGACTGGGTGTTACATTCAAATTGGAGGTTGCGAGAACAGTGTTCTAACATCCACACCCTCACCTCCACTGGTGACGTCAGAAAAAGGAGACGGTAGTGATGTCAGGCATGACAGGCGCAACACCTGGCAAGCCGCTAAAGTGCCCATGTATGCGGACTATTCGTTTCCTTTTGTTGTCAGGCTTGCTGTTTCACCGTTGTCTTGGCAAGGGACCGAAGGAACGCTAAATAGGTGTTGGGGTGGGAAAGCTATGGCAACCCTAAACACAATTAAGAAGAGATAGAGGAAGGAAGCGAAAAAAGTGAGACTCTGCTTGGGCACAAGCATCAACACCAACGCCAAAGAAAAGTGTACGGGCGACGCCTTATTAGTGGGCATGTGCTGGAATAGATCAAGTTCTTTGGGAAATAGCAAAGTCGGCAGTCAGCCAAAAAACACCGGACGCAGGTAGCATACGGACTTATGACTACCTTACGCATCCAGCGTATACATCCTATGGCAATATCGGTAGAGAGGAAATAATTCGTAAAATTCTACGCGCCAGCTATGATGCAATCTACTGCGGCCAAACCTAAAAACCCGCATCTGCGGTATATGTGATAAGCAGCTAATGATGAGGAGTCAAGGCAGTTTGTTTCAGGTATTCATGCACGCACTAGAAACAAGGTACGCGCTTGCAAGTTGGAAAACGCTCACTACTGGCACCTGCCTAAACACGTATCAGTGAGTTTCTAGAAGCGGTGTACTGAGACAAGATATGCATCAGTTGGCATGCTCATTTAAAAACTACGTACAATATTATCAAGAATCAGCGGAGACTGACACAGTTACCTCACCCCACCTGGTAGCCGAATGTCATGATGGCCTATTGGCACAAAGTTCATACAGCCACAAAATCTGTCGTTAGATGTGGCAGCGTTTAAGTGCTTGTATACATTGTTCATAAGTCTGACTACGAGCTGGGGAAACAGGTTCGAAAACTTATATCATACAGGTATTTCCGTGCCCAACTAGCTTTGTCTATGAATAAAAAAGAAGGAGGCTGCTCAAGCACAGGAACAACTTGGTTAATTTTCATTGTGCTCGAAGTTGCACGGGAGCCCGAGAGCAAATGTGACGCGCAGCGGACAGGGCGCCAAGCACCCGCAACACACGACCCGGTCCTAGCGCAGTGGTCTAGGTTTTCACAAAGAGAAGGAGGCGGTTCGGATCCCATCTCAGTCAGAGTGCCAAGGAGCCTTTGAATCTGGATCGCAGTCTTTGAGCTAGTTACCCCACATGCACACCGTATTGATTGAGAGAATCGATTTGCCCTGTCACTTGGCAGTCTTCCAAGCCACGACTTTTAGCGCGTCGTGAGAGTTTCAATGTGTGTCACATTTACCAGAGTGAGGGATGCTCTAAAGTGCCGTGCGGATGGATTGACCAGGATTGCTTTCGCTCTCACTCTCCTCTTCCACGCACTAGCCGACTCTCTGAGCCTGTAAACCAGCCGGTTTAGTTACGCACGTCAGGCCAAACGCACTGCCGGATTGCGCACATATAGGCATAAGCCGGCGGTGCGACAGAGTGCCGAATTATCGCATTTGGCTGTCCACACCTTCGAAACTGACCACGACTAGAGGTTCGTAGACGTTATGATAATTGGCAGTGTCGAAAGCAAGACAAGCCGAGAGTTGTTTTAAGCCTAGATCAGTACATTGGTCGATTGCATTCGTATCAGAGACCTACAGTGCGTGACCTATCTCATGAAATGTTGGCTGAAATTCTGAAATGCGTTTTCGATTAGGAAGGATTACTTGGTCGCGGTTGTGATACTGATTATCTTAAGGCATACTCTTATAACATTTCCGACTCGGCAGGATGTCGGCTTTAAAATGCAATTCTTTTCAATCTCCTGTAGAAAGCGGGCTCGGTAAAAAATGACTTCTTAAGTAGCATGCATTTTTCCCATTGATTTTCGATGGTCTTGGAAATTCAAATGTATTTTATAGAAATCATAAACAAAAATGTGCTTTCTTTTAGTCAATCAATAGAGAATCACGTCTTCTTTATATTTTATACTTAAGGAAGGAGTATAATTAGGTTTTAAATAAGTTTCTAATTATGAGACTTTTTAAGACCGCGATATGTCCATTCACAGAGCATCGTACCTGGCCGTTTACCACTGCTCCTCATGAAATGTACATGGTCCGCATCCATTGCAAAATTTTATGGACCCTGTATGATATCTCTTTAATGACATAGAAAAATATGGGATTTTCTTTACGCGGAACGCATGCACCTTGTAGAGTGTAATCGCTAAGCACTAATGCAACGAATGATCAGGCTTCAAATTTATCGGCAATTAGAAAACTTTTTTAAAACCTAATTATACCCATTTCTTAAGTATGAAATATAAAGAAGACGTGCTTCTCTAGTGATTGACTAAAAGAAATAGTAAAAGTAATAGTAATCGCGACCAAGTAATCCTTCAGAATTTCAGCCAACATTTCATGAGATAGGTCACGCACTGTAGGTCTATGATACGAATACAATCGACCAATGTACTGATCTAGCGTCCGCACACAGAGTCACCTTCGAACTCGTAATACTGGCCGTTAATTGGGTAATAAGCTCTATAACCGTCATTTGTCCTTTAGAGATATTGTCATCTCTGAGAATAGACTCTGGTACGCGTCTGTAAACTCGGACATAAAGAAATGGTCCCGGTACTCGATAAACCTCCTGTTCTACCTTACTCGTAGATACACCTGGAACATAATCATCCGTCCCTTATTCGTGAACATGGTCTACTTCAAACTCATGTCTATATTAAGGATGCAGCGGAGTAACGTCTCGTCATTCGGTATTATTTTTCGGGAACCGGGAATTTTGGCCTTGTTTGTGAGAAGTAAAGCAATGCGCCTCCACTACCAAATAGACTTACACTTTTATAAAAAAAATTACCTACGTCAAATACATATGTCAGCTAGCAGGCCACCACGGCCCACTGCCTCAAACAATTCCCCTTTTGCCTTTTAAAGGCTGCGCTTTAGGTCGTGTAGGCAGTTAATTTGCATGGAATTGCAATAAAGTTGGTGAGCGGCACTAAACGGCGGCATAGTCGGGTCTCGTCTTTAAGTTTTTCCGCCCTTTTGAGGCCTTATGAGTGTTAATTATGTGCGTAGTTTGAGGCCTTCGTGTGCTTCCGCGTTACACAGTGGCCACCTAAGAGCGTACAGCTCCAAGGCCAAAGTGAATCAGACAAATTCGTGCCTCAGGTTGAAGCTGCGCAGCAGGCTGTGTTTGTAAACTACACCAACACCTAAAGTCGTTAGAACCTCGGCTACAAACCAGCTCTCCGCTCCAGATGCCTTGCAAAATTAACTCGAAGGCTGCCGACAAAAGCGTAGTGTGTACGAGAGCAAAGCGTTCGACAGACTTGAAGTCTGCTTCAGTAAACCATTACGATCACAGTCGACGCCTTTTGTTGTAAATAGGACATATTTATAGTGAATCCTATTCGACACAGGTCGATTACTAAAGACTAATACTAGGATATTAACAATATCATAGTGTACAAAGTTGCTTTTTAAAACATCTGGTGTGTGTAAACTGTTTATACGACGAGGCATTTGCTACCTCACTCGCCCGTTTAATGCGGCGCTAATGTTTCCATTTTAGTCATGAATGAGAGGATTTTGTCAGGCGACACTTTATAGAGCAATTTGTGATAACTGCTTTGTGACGTTATCAAACCACAAGTGCCTCTTTCTTTTCCGGGCTAAAAGGTGTACTGTGACTTTATTTCAGCTGGGCTACACGCCTTATGACGCGATGTTTTATCTGGAGGACAGAGGACGAAATGTAGTTAATATTGCAGCCTCAACAACAGAAACGATATTAACTACTAGCACCATATGTGTCAATTCAAAACACAAATTCGGGCGATTGCGCACTGTAAATACATAAGGAAGCCGCCTTTTAGAGCTAATAAGATCCAAAAAATGTCTTTCTGGAAAAAGAAATACAAATTATAGATGAAGGCATTTGCATTCATGCCATGCAGCTGCGTAATGCGAACAAAGTTTGATAATTCCAAAGGAAACCAGGTAACTCATTTTTAGTTACTAATTGTATAGACGTGGTCTAACAGAATATCTGACGCTCTTAAAGTCTTAAAAGATTATTAATGGCTATTTTGGGCATATCATACGCCAGTTTATCAATGACTTGGTCTTCTCGCACTACTGAAAAGTCAATTTTGTTCTTAACATAAGTGAAAGAATTTTATAGCATCCAAACACCAAAAGTGTTGGCGTGCAGATCGCCACTACAAATAGTACGAAGGAATATTTCCCTTGCAAACGCAATCACACTTGTAGTTCAGCAAACTTACGAAGATTGCACTCAAACTGAGGTGAAAAAGTAGAGTTTTTTTTGCAAAGCAAGAGTTTAAAATTATTTGGAGACTGACCAAAATGTCTTCTGTAGAAGAAATAAATGTTGTGACATACATGGCCGTAAAATCGAGTTTTATATGTTTTATTCACTAAAGTCGCTTTAGCAAAAAGCTAACCGTTTAAGCGAGTCTGCTCATCGTCGACAATACGCCTACATAGGAAATTGCAAATTTTCAGTTTAAGCCTTAATCTGTGAGGACACGTTAATACGTCCTGCTCCAGATATCCCTATTTAATCAGTCAGAATAGGAAAAACCAAGGTGGTCTTTTTAGGAGTACCGTTGCACGAATTCCGAGGTCCACTTGGAGCCACTCTGTAGAAGACTTGTACTTGGGGCACCACGCCAAACCATTGGGCAGATACAGACGTCCATTAGCTGGCGCGCAGTCCTTAGACCATGGACTATTCAGAACTGAGGAGGCCGTGATCTGGGTGTCGGTAATAGCAAGCGAGATCATGCCTAGTAGGTCATCCTGCTCACAGGCTGAAAGAGATAGAAGAAACACGAAATCACCAACAACCGGGAAGCACGAGTGTTTTTTGGGGAAATGGAAGCAACTCGCCGGCAGGCAGTTAGGCTGTATGAGATAACGACGTTCGTGCATGAAGAGATGCTACCTGAGGCATATACAGATGAGAAAGGTCATCTGCGCTGGAAATGTACATTTCAAATTGAAGCTCGCTGGCATGTCCTCGTGAGCGCACCGGCGAACTTCTTCAGTTTGCACTTTTTAAATCCTTTAGGTAACATGGATTCAGGTTAACGAGTAGTAGTCGAAGCTAGTGCTGGACTGGGGACTAGGCTTTGAGCTCCCCTTGGGTTGGGCAATACGCAGGACGCTTGGTTGCCAGTTTCTCGCAGATGTAGGATATTTCCGCGAGAACCCGTCAGGAGGAGTACGTCTTAAATAACTTTTAAGACTGAAGCAAATATCAGGATATTAGTCCAGGTCAACTATTATCATAAATGAAGGATTATTAAAGCCCGTTGATTACTGTATTTAATGACAGGCGTTTCTGCAAATTTCTTGATCGTTAGTGTTTCTAGCTGACTTGTTAAGGATGTAAGGGGTTCTCTGGGGGGCATGTTGACAAAGCCGATAAATTTTAATCGAGCATTTGTGACCAACGCCTCCTGTTCCTGAAACCCTGGTCATAGTATTTCAATGTCTGAATGACAAAACGTTTAAGCCAAATACTTGGCAATCTGCCGAATTGAAGTAAAAGCTCAGACCGCCGTCCAAGCACACGGTCAAGTTGTTCTAGATCGATGTCTGGAAGCAACTGCTGTTGAACTACAGTTTTCATTCTCCCTGCCGGTGACGCGTCGCAAACTGAGCGCCGGTAGCCATCTAACTAAATGAAGAACCCGGACCGAAGCTCCAAGTCAATAAGGAATCGCCCGTCACTTTCATTTACACTTAACTATTTATGTTGCCAGTCATGGTTGGCAGGATTTTCGTCTGTGATGTATGGCAGATATTTGGACTCATATGCTTGGTGGTCCGCTAACGCACGTCGTAGCTCCAAGTCGTCCGTCTATGTTGTCCGGGCGTGCCGGGTTGGTGACTGCAAGTATGTTAAAAATCGTCACTGCATTCACCCCTGTCTCGGTCAGTGACCCTTTCTGATAATGGATTTTTGCACTGTACGACTGCCTGCATAGTATCGAAACTTCACGTTATGTCAAACCCGTTCGGGGCTCCATCTTTTAGTCATGACAGATCGGCAAGAGATACTTACAGTGAGTGAATGATCCCATAAAATGTTGGCCACGATTCTGAAGTGCGTTTTTGATTAGGAAGGATTACTTTGGTTAGGTTGTAATATCGATTATCTTGCCGCAGGATGTCGGCTTTTGAATGGACATCTTTTTAATCTCCAGTAAAAAATGACTACCTATGTCGCATGCACGTTTATTTTTCATTTTCGATAGTCTTGCGAGTTCAAATATATTTTATAACGAACATAGACAAAAATATTCTTTCTTTCATTCGTTTAATAGGGAATCATGTCACGTTTTCCGGGGTTTTGCGCTTTTCTAAAAAATTGGCATTTCTAAACAACACAACATTGCCCTTATTATTTATTCTATGCTTTTAATTCTCTTAAAATTGTGCTTTACTAGCATAGATATTGGATTCACAGATTGGTGTCGGTTCGCGAGTGATTAGCAATCATTCGTAAATTTCGATACATTTCATGATTTGTGTCACCCACTGTGATTATGCTCATTCTTCGAGTATAAAATATGAGGTTGACATGATTTCCTATTAAACGAGTGAGAGAAACAGTGTTTTTGTTTATGTTCGTTATAAAATATATTTGGATTTGATAGACCATCGAAAATCAATGATAAAAATGCATGGGACATGGGTTGTTATTTTTTTACCAAATACGGTTTCTGCAGAAGATTGAAAAGAAATGCATTCAAAAGCTGACATTCTGCCGAGTCCGAAATATTACAGGATTATGCCGCAAGATAATCGGTATTACAACCCAGCCAAAGTGATCCTTCCTAATCGAAAACGCATTTTGAAATTTTGGTCAGCATTTCATCAGATCGGTCAACTTTCGAGAGATAATTGCTATACCGTCCTTAGGATTTGCTGTTTGATAAGCACTGAGGCCGTTTCCATACCTTTATTCTGACTTGAGTATTTAGAAATACATGCTTGCGAACCCCTGGCGTCGAACGTAGTAAAGCTGCTCATCAACATAGAGGGCCAGATTGGAGTATTACAAAGCAAAATGTTTGTCAGTGGAAAATAACTCAGAAATCAAAAAGACGCGCAAATATGACTGGTTAGGACTCAACTGCAAACCCGCATGGCCATGTCAACAGGACAGCAGATGTGCGCTCGCGATCTGTTTGGTAGCATCTCGTATAAATTCCAAAGAATCTGCATCTACCCAAAGAAGGTGTTGCATATTTTTGGCAACGACAGTTTTCAGACAAATATATCCAACCTGTATTTTGCAACCAAAAGGCAGAAATATTGCTGGCTGATCAGACACTGATTGGTTGGTTTAGTAAGGTTTATCTTCAAATGTTTTGGTCCAAATATGCGCTGCGCGGGATTCTGACAAATGTTATCTTGTACCCACATTCTTCTCTGCCGTGGTTTATAAAAACTAACGGTAATTGAACCGATACTCTTATGGGAGCCAAGACACTGGTGTGAACAACGACCGCTTTCGCGAGTTTTCACTGATTATCAAAGGATAGATTTTCATATTCTTTGAAGAGTCTCGCAGGTTTGGCCCCGTTAATCTCGGTTGCTCTCATTTACTCTTATCGCCCCATGCGGAACCCTCCCGCCAGCCTGTTTTTAAACAGCAAGCGAAAACGTTTTTACGCAAAAGACTGACATGTACTCCTTGTTGTTATGTCTAGCATATTTTTCGGCAACCGACGGCTTCATATCCAGTTTGCTTAACACGTAAAGTGGAGTGTATTGCGGAGGACTCGAGCGAAATTTCTATGATTCCATCCATTTTTATCAGTAGCCTCGCTTTATTTGAGTAGCCGCAGAGACGAGCCGAATGCTTAAGGGCAGGAAGAGATTAGACATTTAGAGTGATCTGGCCTACTTTCTTAACGGCAGCCGTTCAAGTAAATTGAATCAGTCCTAAAACAAAATTAAAGGAGGTAGGACTAAGAAGATACAGTAGGTGGGCTAATTCATAAATTGTCAACCGAAATTCCGAAATGCGTGTTCGTTTCGAAAAGATTAATTAAGTAGGGTTGTAAAACTAATCAGTCTGCAGTATAATTCTGTAATAATTCAGTTACCTCAGGGTGCCGAATTTTGAAAGAACTTCCTTCAGTTGCATGCGAAAACCATATCCTGTAAAAGTGACTACTTAAGCAGTATGAATTTTTCTCATTGATTTTCGATGCTCCTGAATGTCCAAATACGTTTCAAGGAAAGCATACACAAAATAGTAATTCTTTTACTCATTCGTTAGAATGAAATGGCCATTCATAAGACGTAATGTCTCTGCATTTGCCAATGTGTCCTGTAAAGTTAACAGCGTGGATCAAATCCACTGCTAAATTTTATGAACCCCATATAGTCTCATCTTAATACCTTCGAGAAATGTGTGGTTTTCCGCACGCGGAAAATATACGGCTTGCAGGTTCGTAAACTTGAATCCAAGTGTAACGATTCGGGAACTGGAAAAGTCTTTAAAAACCGAATTATACCCTTCCTTCAAGTATAAGATTGAAAGAAGACGAAAGTTTCTATCGACTGAGCGTTAGAATGAATAGTTGTATGCCTGTTTCGCATGAAATGTAATTGGACATTTAGGGGCGCGGAAAATCAATGAGAAAAATGCATGCAATTTAAGTAGTCATTTTTTAAAGTGTGCTTTTTGCATGCGACAGAAAAGAAGTTCGTTCGAAAGCCGCCATCCTGAGGTAACTGAATTATTATAGAATTCTACTGCAGAATGATTAGTTTTACAACTCGCCTTTCACGGTATTAAAAATCTCACAATTAGAAACATTTTAAAGTCGAATTATACCCTTTCTTCGAGTGCAAAATTGAAAGAAGACGTAATTTTCGACCGAATGAGTAAAAGAATGAATATTTTTATGCATGTTTGCCATGAAATCTTACTGGATTTTTAAGGACATCGAAAATCAATGAGAAAAATGCATGCTACTTAAGTAGTTGTTTTTTTACAAAGTAAAGTTTCTGCGTGCAGCCGAAAAGGAATTCTTTCAAAAGCCGGCACCCTGAGGTAATTGACTTATTATAGAATTAGGCTGCACGACGATTAATTTTACAACCCTACTTACTTAATATTTTCGAAACGAAAACGCGTTTAGGAATTTCGGTTGACATTTCATGAGTTAGCCCACCTACTGTATTTCGCCTGTATGAGAAGATCTAATGACTGCTGTCCGAGACCAATACACTGTAACAGACTTACATAAGCCAAACAACCTAATCTGTGTTTTCCTGAGTGCAAACACTGCAATAAAGGCCTCTGGGGATGTTTAAACTTTGATACATAGTCAAGGATAGGAAGTTTAGGACTTTGCAGGATACCATAACATAATCGACTTTGCTGCTATCAAGACCTTATATGACTAACAGTTTTCAAAGACTGCTCTGTTACTTAGTCCAGACCAAAGAATATTGTCTTCGTGAAATTTCTTCATTAGGGACTTTTGTGCTGAGAATTTTCGTGAGGTCGCAAAGTATCCATCTCCAACTTACAACGAGGACATTTGCAAACTTCTGCCAGTAAAAAGTAAAGCTGGCACTGTATCGCTCAAATCCCTGAGACAGATAGTAGGTCATTCGACAACTGTGAAGAAAAACATTGAAGGTCGACTGAATTTCAGCTGATGCCTGCAAGCATAGAAGCCTGTGGCCCCTGGGGACACTGATGCCTTCTTTCCGTAGTTCTGAGAGAAAGGACAAACAACGCGAAACTCCACGAACGTAGTTGTCATGAGCCCCAAAACGCAAAATAAAACCGTCCAATATGGTTTGTGTATTTTAGAGAATCACCGTAGAACCACGATCTTTGCCGAGAGAAGTACCCAGGGATGCGGATAAGCTTCTGCTTTATCAATGATAGTCTCACAAAGATAATCGATTTTATGAAAAGAAATTGGGCGGCAAATACTACGGGGAGAAGGACATATTTTAAAAGGTGGTACGGCAATCCCGCAACGTCAGGCAGGCCTAGGTCCCCGAAAACTGGTCGACCTCAGTTGTCTCCGCCAAGACCGACACAATGCTATGGCACTAAGTACCCAGCCAGTCATAATGCCCCTAGTGTTGGCTGTAGCTCATTCTAATAAACGTCGTAAGGAATAAAATAAAAGCCGCCTAAACGCTAGTAGAATGCAGGTCTTTGCAACAGCTTTCATTGACGAGGTATAATAAAACTGTGACCTCCAAAAACTGCGCACGCAGTGCCACAACACAGGCTGACTGGCTGCGCATCCTGGACTGTTCCATCTCTTGGTGAGAAGACCTGGACTGACTGAACGCGAGACAGACAATTAGGAAGCCTACAGCAGGGGCTTAACGACATAGATACTAAACGTCCCCGACCATCATCTGACCGTCAAGGCATGTTGACTTACGCGGGAATCATGATTCAAGGAAATATTGCAATCGACAATGAAATAACAGGCCGGATGTAGAGCACCAGTCTGACCACTCGCGAGCTGCATTCTGTCGCGCGGAATCAGCCCTAACTTGGTGGTTTAAATCCATCCTCATCAGCACGCTGCTCTATGACACATGTACATGGAATGTCCGCTACTGTCAAATTAGAACTATAAATTACTTATTCTTTAGTTGTCTTCCAAAGGTTCTGAAGTTGGAAGGATAGGGAGTGATTCACGATACTCAAGACTTCAAATCGACTTAAAATTTCAATAGCTCTGCAAGGCTAAAACAAATAGATTTCCTACTACATCCCTATATTTGAAGGCCTTGATATAAACCAGGAGTCCCGGGTCACTCCCTAATAGGATTGAAAAGAATAACAATCTGTCGTAAAGAACAGAGTTGAAGACGAATTAAACATGAATCACTGTAGAGAAGCGGCAAGGAAGCAAGACATGCCATCTACGCAAATTTACCTTAAAGGTTATTTTGGAAACCATCGTTCCCAAGGTCACCCATCGCGAGATACGAGAATTATTACATTCTAGATATGGGACGATGACAAAAAGTTAAATCTCTCCAAAGCGAATCGGACTTTCGCCGCGCCTACGCCATGCTTTCTTCTCATACAGAGCGTTCCAATAGCGAGTCAGAGTAAAGAAGACCGGTGAAGAACGTAGCCGAAGTGGCTAAAGAGGATAAACGACCGTGATACGCGTGTCACCCATGTGCAGTCCCCTAAATCTGCATAAGCCATTGTTCAAAAAGAGAGGTGGTACCAAGTCTCTCAAAGGCGAGAGTGCTAAAAACGTCACTTCGCGAAAGAGTAATCACAAATTCACCCGCAAGAGAGAGAAGGACTGAACTACTTCCTGCGTTGCAGGCTTTTCAAATACGATTATTAATATGTTAGAGTATGTTGAAAGCATACTTTCGTGCATTCATGCATATCTTAAGAGGATAACTGGGGTGGATCCAAGGTGGGCAGAGCTCAAGTAATCTTCCCTCGTTTAGATATCAGCGGCCCGCTTAGGTAGAACCGACTGGGGATAAAAGTGGTGATCTGGCTGAAGTGATAGGATGTAACAGTTTAACGTTACCAAACAGAAGGACGTGCCTTTTATTTTAATGTGGAACGCTATTCATAGCCATGAGCAGTACTTCAGTATTGGTCCCACACTCCTCCTCCTTACCCGTGTACCAGCGGCCCATCCGAGTCTTCTGGTGGGCTGGTGATGAGACTAGGCACGCTGACCGAAATGGCGTGAACTGCCGCATGGCACATGTTACGCGCATGGTTAGTTATGAACGAGACCCAACCAGACTCAGCGCAGTCAATTTGAGGTACACGTCCACCAGCACTACAGCATCAAATATTGCATACCAGTTGGCCGAGGAAAATAGACGTCGATCAGACTCTCTTCACCTTACTTTTACACGGAAACCGATTTTCTATGATTAGACGGCTCCGCGTCCACCTCAGTGTTAGGAAAACAATCTCTGCACCAAGTCCGTTATCGCGGCTAACAGCCCTCCGATCGTAGAAGCTGCTGCACCTCAGCAATCGACGGATGACGAAACAGTGGGTAGAATACGCCGGTCCGAGTAGTCTTGAAGTGTTCGCGGTTCCATCTACGGAGGGACATCATGTGCGGAAGCTGCAATATCGGCTTATACACAAGCTGGTCCCTCCTCTTGCTTCACAGACCACGGTAGCCAAATTTCTTAAGGGCAGTATAGGCCACATTAAGGAGGAACCATTTCAGCCTGATTTTCCAACTTTAGGAGACTGATTTGCCCTGCCAACTGACAAGCTTCCAAGCCAGGACATTTAACGCAAGGTGATACTATCAAGCACGTGAGAAATGCGTTGAAGTGTCGTGGAAAAGGATTCCGCAGTGTCGACCCTGCTCTCCCATCCCTGCCTCCATGCACCAGTCTGTTGTCCGAGCCAACCAGGCCTCTGATGCAGGGCTTAAGCGCTGGTGGCTGGTGCGGCATAAGCCTGCGCCCAGACGTGCCCCCTAACGCGTGACATTCGTTATGAACTGCGGAGGATCTGTGTAACCCGACTAATACGTGTCCTGCCCTAATCCATCCTCTCTGTCGACGTAGCGCAAATCCGACGTGGCCTGTTTTAGGTGGTCTCCCTTACCTTTTCAACTAGTACTTTTCTATCATATTTTAGTATTATAACTTTAAGGTTCAGCTATAAGCAGTAGGAAGAGAAAACATTAGTATTCAGAAGGACTAGTCTAGGAATGCTAAATCAAATTGCAGGTAAGAGTCTCTTGCATATTTCGCAAACATCTTGTGTGGTTCCTGTCACTGAGCAGAGATATCATAACCGCAAGCGTAGTAAGATACCATGGAACGATAATTAGGTAAGGTTACACCTGCACATCTCAATTCTGACCAAACGACCTTTAATGAAACACCCCCAAGTAGAATACACGGTAACGATAGGTTGTGGGACCCCCAACTAACTTGAACTAGCGTGTGGACCGTGTCATACGCTGAACTGCGGTAGAAGGAGTTTTACGTATTGGGACAAAGCACAGGACGGAGAGCAAGAAGGCACAGAAGATAGATAAATTTCTGCCGAAAGTCTTGTCGTACGCTGTAATCTGGCAAGGAAAGTGGGCACGATAATTAAAAAATGGGCAATAAGAAACTTTCAAAAAGAACGGACTTTGAATAAAGCGCCGCTGGTAAAGTTTCATTTAGTCAGGAAGGTAAGGAAATTTGAAACAATGGGAACGGTGAATAAGGAATGATAATTATAGTCACAAGGAACTTTAGGAAATACTTTTGACGTTACCATCTACTTGGAGGCCATACACCCTATTGTCACCGAATGCAACTCTGCAACTGCTTTTGCATTCTGAGTGAATTTGTATTTAGAAGCAACGTAAATGTGACGCGCAAACAACCTTGCTCCGCTTTCTCAGCCCACAGACCTACTTAACGCACAAGAACCAAAATGAAGACAGTCAAACAGCTCCAGTAAAGCGAAATAGAAGGAGTACTAGGTGAAGCAGAAATCTCCTGTTGACCGCATTTCGCTGTAAAAAGTCCACTTAAGATGAAGCATATTCTAACTCCGTAATCAGCGTTGGTCCTATTGACGGGAAGATACGGTCGGGAAGGAGAGGAAATGCATTTTGCAGACGGTTTGTTTTACACAGAATTTATAACCAAGGCTGCATCACTACCGTTTCTAATATTTTAAAAACGTTAGAAAATCCCAGACAAAATGAGATTCTGAAGTCATCGTTTCGCTCAACACGGACAGGTACAACTAGCTATACATGGGATACCAATGCAACTCCCATAATACTCTGACTAAGCCAGTTTACATTAAAATACTAGCAACCCTTATAAGAGACACTTTTCCATCCCTACCAGACTTCACACAACTGCCATGATAAGAACTGATTTGACAGCGAGACAGAGGCCGGCAAACCACTCTTATCAACGTGAAGGAGAAGTTTCAGCATTACGACAAGTTGAAAGGACATCACGAAAATATGGCGGATAAGATTTGATTTCAATCTGAAATGATTCGCCTAAACATGAGCACGTGGTCGAACTCATATAGACCTCGGAATTTTCGCATGAGTGCTTTGAAAGCCTTGTTGAAAGAATTCTCAGTATGTGGCCGAGAAATTTTAAATACTAAAAGTGACTGCACAACTGGTGGCTATATGGAATTTTTCTAAAACGGGCCACGTGCTGGACCAACATAGGAGCTACGCAGGATTCTGGCAGGGGCCATCGGGAGTCCGCACGCATACTAAATGTCCAGGCCCAGTTGGCGGCTCACGTCGCACCATTTGGGATCCGTGCTTCCCATCCATTTTTGTTGTCGTATAAAATCCTAGTCAGTATCCCTTGGGGACCAGGGAATGCGGCGGTACGCCTGGATGCAAGTTTTTGCTGTGCCAGCTACCTGCCGCCTCTCCCGCCTCCGATCTTCTTGACTCTGTCTTGACACCAGGGCAAGGTGAGGAGCAGGAGAGCATGAGGTGGATGCTGTGAAGGGTTACTATCACTATCAACTAATTAACTTGCCAATCATCGTCCCTGCTCTCACGATGCTGTGGAGCACACGGCGGACATCTTCGAAATCGACGGCCGAATGTTGCACGGTCAGGACAAATGAAAAAACCTGAAAAAATATGCATTGCATTTTCGAATGTGTAGCCCTGTGGTGATTAGCTGTACGTATCTGGCAACCCATCGCCTAAGAAGTCCCAATTGTGAACCACGGATGTGAAGTGGCATTAAGTGGACCTAAAGTCCAGTCAATGCTAAATGTTCGTTGACTAAGTGAGGAACTGTGTTGCACTAGAGAACGTATAGCTGAGATCCTTCGAACATCTGGCTGAGCGTTACGTGTTTGTGGTAGACTTTCAGGCAAAAACTAAATACTAGGATGAAAGAAATCAGGAACGATCCTTTAATGAACTTGCTAACAGTAAAATTTTAATATTTAAGAAAAAGGGTTGTCATCTGTGATTATTTGTAGCTGATGGGGCTATCATGAACTTAAGCTGCCCTACAGTTTATGAACTAGTCTATGCACTATCGGATTAGATATCGTTCGAGTAAATAAAACGCACCATATCTGTGAAAAAAGCTACTCAGCTGATGGCCTTTGAATGCATCACCAACGTTTTCGTCGGAAGAATATTATTCTGTTTCAACTGACACCAACATTATAGTCACAGGCTGGATTATGACAACCGAATCTGGAATACCTATTTTTTTCTGCACCCAGAAAACCTTTTCTGAATTTGCGTGTTATGGGAAACTGTATGCCAGCTACAGTGTTTATATTGCTGCATGCAAGTTCAGACGACCTTTTGTTCTATAGTTTTTAGGGGCATTGTCTGAGGAGTATGTAAGTATGTTAATCACGTAAAGCGGCTGTTTTTGGCGACATTATTTTTCATTTTAGAAGTGGATTGCTTATTAAGGACCAGCACAGGATTTCCTAATACTTACCCTTGAACTCGCATTAAAAGGCTTCTATCTGTCGAAGTTTTTCGATTCAGTATGCGATCCTCCTTTGAAATTGTCATGAAAGCCAAACGTTGCGATCCCTATTCTAATTCGCCAGCAATTCAAACAAAAGAGGAATAAAGTGGTAAACGACACACTAATCTAAAAGCCAAGGTGATTTTTCTTAAAAATACCCACAAAACATTGATTACTTTCCTCTATGAAGTGGGAACTTTATTCATGACGTACACCGGCGTACACCACAATAAATCTTCTGAACTTTCCGTTCTGTCACTCGACACTCGTGAAAATACCAGGTTGGCAACAGTTTTCTCTCACGTACCGATTCTCTCATGCCACAATTATAAAGGATTCAAGCATAAAGCAAACCCGAGCAAGAGTTCGATCAATTGTTAGCTTCCCATTATCAACAAAATCGTCTTGCAACATTAGGAAACAATGCCGGTTCGGAACTAAGAAGCAAGAGGTTCTAACTGAGAATAAATTGAGAATACAGAAGACTGAAACACTATTTTTAACAGGACCGCACTTCCCAGCCCACAAATGGCATGTTTTGTTGTGCGCAATTGGGTTCAGCAAATACTATGGTTCCGACCGTCGAACAAAGCAAATTAGATTAAGCCCTAGACTAGCCATCAACGGTGGCCTGGACTACGGCTACCCTAAAGTTCCCTCCTAATTTTATTCCACATTTGTGGAGGTGTGATCGGTCGCATTCTGGATAGCCTGCGCTCAGACGCTCTGCGCCGTTTATCGAGCCTGAAAAGAGCTCTATACACGAAAAGGGTGCAAGACACCGGCGCACGTACGTGGCGACAAGATCGGGGGAGGGAATGTGCGGAAAGCGGGGTCGGGGAACGCGCTCAGTCAGCTTTCGCACCGGCAACCTGGGCAGAGTTCGGAGTAAGGTCCATAAGTCGGTCAGAGGGCCAAAACAACGTGACAGTGCGGAAATGAAAAATGCCTGTAAGTGTGCAGAGGCAACAGGCTATAAGCAGGTTGCAATGCAAAGGCATGCCTTGGAGGGCCTAAAAAGCTTTCAGTCAACCCACGGCGCCATAAAACTTGACTTGTGTATACAGGAATGGAGAATGAGCAAGCTGCTCAGAACTGGGGTCTTAATGCGTCCCAGAAGGTGTGACTGCACTGAAAATACTGATCGGCGGCTTAAATGGCCTTGAAAGAGGTCAAATCAATGATTACTAGTCCGACCACAAAATTCGTGCATATTATGAGACTCTTAATGGGAGTCTGCACGTAGTATAGCAATATTAACCAATGTACACATGGTAGTTTGATATACTTATCTTCAAAAATAGACTACGCGCTGAAGATGTGAATTTGCATAAGTCTAATATGCGTTACTGAAGAGATGGACCGAAACTGACAATCAAATGTTTTTTGAAATTGCGCTGTTTCGCTGAAATACGCCAGTATACTGATGTCAATCAGTTCACAGTTAAATATTCTACAGCTGAGGGAGAAAAGATTGGCAGAAACCAGACCCTGCTGAGGTGTATCCATATTAAAAAGTGACTGTCAGTAATCAGTAACTTAAATACAGCATTAGTGATTGTTGGTTATCGCCCCTGGGGGTACAGGTGGTATCAGTCTGCTCAATACCAATAGACTTTGGAATACCGTGAATGGAACAAAATGCCACATAAAATTGGAGTCTGTTGGCAGAACTTTAGATGCACATCCGTTAATAGGGGATAAGCATTATGCGAGTTGAGTCTTCTTTTGTGTGTCCTAACCAGAGCAAACAACCTGAAGTCATAAAGTCGAATTAAAACAGCAAGTAAAATGGTATTAATTGATATGCTCGGTTAACAGGTGTTTCCGGTGAGATATCCAGGTAAAGAAGAATGGGAAAATCAAGTTTTATCGCTTACATGAGATATGGGAATTCTTGAATGTCAGATTTAGGCCAATATATTAGTATTTGTTTGATTGTTATGAAAGTAAACTTGACAGCAACCACAGCCTTATATTTGAGAAAATAAGATCTATTGAACACAACTTTAATGGCTGTACAAGGCGCGGTTCACGACCTGTTCCCTAGTCATGATCATTTCCACACCAGTGCCTTACATAGGACAAAAGATAATACCTGAGTCATCATCGCAGATTTGCCGACTCTTTAGTCGAGTTTAAGAGACTGTCAGTCGGCTTCGGAAAAGTCATTTAAAAAATATCATAACATACCATTAAAATAAAAATCCAAACCATTTTGGTGAAACAGTTTGGCATTTGCTTAATTACTTAGGTCAGTATAATTTAGTAAACAAAGATGTCAATGTTTTGTGCGCCTCAAGCATTTGGAACATTAGTCAAAGGTTGTAATTTGCGAGAGACAGATGGGAGTCTTGCAAAAGTCCCTTTCCTCACAGACTTACTATGGAAGAACCGATTTAAACATAGATTAAAGTTTTCTCAGAAATCGGCAGTTTGGAAAAGTCATGTTTTTTCATTGTTTATATATATATAAATTTAACAGGATAATAAGTACCGTCATTTTGTGGGACTAAAAATTGTATCAGTTAGTTTTTTTGTGATATATTAGACAATGGCGCCTTTCCAGTAAATGCTCAAACATTTCTGAAGTAGATTCTACAGCAATGAAGTAACAAAATCATATCACTTGTGCATGTGTGCATAGCGATACTGTAGCTTTAGTGAATTTGCTCTATCCGTCTTTTATTTGAAAAAGTCGTTATCAGAGGTGGACATGTCACCTGTTCAATTTTCATAAAGACGCAACGAAATGATATTGCTCAATAAACGACTTGAGTATATGTATAGACAAAGAGATCCTGTTACTGGGTTAACTAGCAGAACAGACTTACAGTCATACGCCAATGGATGAAAGGAGCCACGATCGGCCTGTTCCTTATCCATGACCAGTACGCCCCCACTGTATGTCAGAAGGGAACAGATGACAAGAATAACAACCGGATGTGTGGCACCAGATATGTGCTGGGGCATTGTTTGCATGTGAGCTTGGAGTGGACAGCGACCTTTCCCTTAAACCCCTCAAAACATTTAATGAGCCCTTGGAATCACAAATTGAACGCCGCCACCCGGCAAGCTGACGTCCGGATGACGCACTCTTCTGCGCACACGTGTGCCCTCTCAGTGCATCTGATTGGCCGCATAGTTCTTTTGCATCTTTGAAGGTTCAGAAGCAAACGCCAGTAGCCAATGCGTTTAAGAAACCTTTTTCTTCTTGGGGGAGGGCAGTTTTCCAGGAGTTTGAAGAGTGACAAAAGTCTATATGACACGGAACGCATGTAAACCATCGGTAACAGGACGTAGGCGCCAAGAGTGTCCTGAGTTAAGGTGACCCTGTCACGGAGTTTGTTAATTCAGGCCGTACTATACGGCTAACTGCTTTTTCGACTTTTCAGATCTGCGGCCTTACGTAAAATAACTTCTCCTGAAAATCTTATTTGTTCCCGAACGCTGGTGGCTGAAGAAGGGATAAAAGAAAGTTTGTTGTCCCCCCTCATTGATACAGACGCCCACTAGGTAAAGCAACCGATACAAAGGACAGTTCCATAGCACACTACTTCATTGAAACCCTTTCCCTTAGAAGGAAGTTATCTTAAGTTAAAAGATGTCAAGTACTCTGAATGAGTAGCAATTGTCCCGAGTGGATACACCAAGTGAAATTCTACCATTACTTGAGGAATTTTGACTTGGCTTAGTCCATTTGTTAAAATGGGAATAAACGCAGATAGACGCCCTCAGTTGGCCAATGAACTATCGCTGCCCAAAATATGCCCCTGCTAAGGCATAATGGCTGTCAGCGCGGAGATGGATAGTTTAGGTACGATTTATCTTATGGATATGCCGAGACCAGAGTTTGGAATATTTACATCAAAGCTAATAGGACAACAATTTCTCTGGAAATTTGGCTTCTAGTCCTCGATTAGCAGTTGTTTTGCTTACTTGGAGCGCGTGTACACTGTCCTACCATTGACTAAAAATAACCACTCCCTGCAAATAAATAACTTTATCAACTTAATTACGACAAATCCTTGAAACTGGGTTTGGGAGCATCATCTTTCAGTGCACGTGACCAGTCTCGTGGATAAATGGGACATTCGGTGAGAGCGGTGGTGGTTATTGCATAAAACAACTAACGATTAACTGTCAGCACTAAATCTAAAATTAAGAATTTCGCATTCATCCGTCTAGAGGGTTAAAGGTTAAGTCAAGCCTAGTCGGTATCAGCTGACGCAGGTGAGTACTGCAGTCGCTAGGAGACAAGTTGTTTTATAAATTCTGACACATTATCAAGTTCACAGTGACTATGTATTTTAGACTTGAACATTACCTGGGCATAGCGCATCTATCCATAAGTACATAAACTTTCGCCTGTCAACTTATGGGCTGATGTGTGGAAAGGTTTCGTGCCTAGTATGATGGAGTGGAATTCTGGACGACTGAATACTCTGAGAGCCCAAACATGGATTTTGAGAACGCTACCTTTGCAAAAATCTTGTCAGCACCGACCGAGCCAGTATTGACAACTGTAAGGAACGACTGAGGTCGATCGTCCTCGATCATCATTTCAAGACGAAAGAGGAAATAGGAAACAAACTTCCGTTATTGGAGGCTCGCGTCTACCGCCAACCAGAAAATAGCCCATAGAAGACCGACAAATGCTCTGCAAATGCCCGACTACAACAACAGCAACCAGCAGTCGGAACATTATCGAAACCGTAAACGCACGCTAAGACGGTGGGTGGAAAATGATGGTGATACGCCGATCGCCAAATGGGACAAAAGGAAGCTTCTTCGAGAGATCTTCAGAGCAAACAACTATTATTGAGTATAAGTTGAGAGCAGTCGACTGACAAACAAAAAGCAGAATGGGCAGTGCAGTCAACCGAAAACCTAGCAGAGCATTCAGCTTGTGATGGAGGTCTTGGAGGTTGTAGTTGGGTTCCTCGCGACACGCCGAATAGGTGTTACCAAACTAATCTGTTTCAACAGTCCATCGGCAGGTGAGACGGCCAAAAGACCTCATTCCTAACCGGGAGGAGTCTGTCGTTGTCTACTTCCTACAGTGCAGTTGTGTTAAGGGTACTTACGTCGGACAAACCGGCTGATGGTTGCAAACGCGAGTGCGTGAGTGTCAGTTTGTCCTTCGTAGGCTGCACTCAGAGTAGTAGGTAGCAATTGATGCCATACAGATGGGCACATCTGCGACTTTGACGCCGTTGGAATTGTCGGCGAGGCGGTGATCACACATCAAACAGATCCTCCGATTTCTCAGTTGAACGACAAATAAACATGCTTCTCCCTATTTAGAATTACGAATCTCCTGACAGGAGATGAAAGGCGTGAAACAAGCGAGATCGCTGATTACCGCTACGGCCACAGAAGGCGGGGCGACATATGTCATTGTGAAACCGGGGGCCGAATCCGTCCCACAGTAGCCACTAACGACCTAGGCCATATAATGAGGGCTGTGTAAAAGACTTTCCAGCTTTTGAACATTGGTATGTCAAGTCGCTGCTGAAAACGTCAGGCCACGAATAAACCGTCCCCGATAAATTGCATATTATTTTTTCTTATTGTGGGAGCTGTGGAGCACAGAAGAATCACTGACGAACTTTGTCACTTCACGTACAGAAGTCCATACAAGTGTCTAGCCTGCAGCGGAACTTTCCGGTTGCTTATAAGAAGCCCAAGTAATTCGGACGGTTGTCTACCTATACGCATTTTAATGAATAACAACGACCAGTAACGTCGGAAAAGGTAATATACAGATCCAAGTTCCGAAAGATATCAGTAAAGATGCGTCAAAACCTACCGATGAAGAACTTTTGAGTGAAATCTGGAGCTTGCTTGGAACTGTCCTACATTGAGTAAATACAACTGGCTCCAATTGTTGCACCTAAGGTAAAAAAGTACAATTTTATGGATATTTATACACACATAGAGCTCAGGGTGGACTAATAAGAAAAAGAAAGAGTTAGAATTGCACGAACTCAGATGTTTCTTGATGGGGATGTCATGACTTGTGCGATGTCCATCTATCAGAAGTAAAAGCCTGCGATGTAGCGTGCCTTGCAGAAAGTATTAATGAATATTCATACGAGATGACAATGAAGTTCTCACAAAACAGTGTTCTAGTTTAGAAGAGACAAGGAACTATCATAACAAAGACAAGTTCGGGGTTGTACCGGCTTGGGCTTCAGGTCTGAAATTACGATTGCATGTGCTAAAAATACCAGCTGTTGTGACGATTAGTTTCCATCCTCTATGTACAATAGGTTCATTGGCGGCTTCCTCTTTTTAATTCAATACATTTCAACTGTCATTGCAAAGAACTATATGGTGGATAGGCATAACTGTTAAGGGATACCTAAAGTCGACGACGATTAAATTATATGGTTTCGGTCATACAGTAGAAGACGATCATTCGCATTTGAGGACTATGAAATTTTAACTGATTTTGTTTGCACCGCACTGTAAAATTAAAATAAGAGAAATAGGAGTAAATTTGGCAGAAGAAAAAAAGGTTACCACTGTAAGTACAGTGGAGTAAGAATTGTACTCGTTCCCGCAACAAGTCAGTTACGTTTTAGGGGAGTCAATGTGAGGGCGGAATCCGCCACTGATAAAGGCAAGTGACAATGCACAGTTAAAAGGGCCACCGTTCCCCACTTAAGTAAATATCGCTCATTGTGTTAAAAATCCTTGGATTTTTATTTCATCATAGCTATTTTTGCACACAATGGTTGTTAAGGAAGCAAAGCGCAAGTAGCATTTCTGGTTAGAGAGCGCACACTTGGCGTTTAGTGAGTTCAGATAGGAAGGTACAAAACAAATGAATGTGTGTTTTGAATATTTATATTACTAAGATGTTCCGAAAGGCAGTCAAACCGCAAAGCCACTTTTCTTTCACCGTTAACGTACAAACCATTTATTTGGCCTACTGAAATTTCTGAACCGAGTTCTGCAAAGGTACGCTACTTGTTTTATTTACACTTAATTAATATTCTTCTGGCTACTGTCAAAATAATAGTAGGCTTGTTAAGTACATTAATGGAAACTGAAGTCCTACTGCGCCGCGTAACATGTAGTTCCCATTCGTGGTGCGTTATAAAACGTTTCCAGTACCGACTCATTAACTGATTTACTCAAAGATCCCCGAGAGACAGCTATCTAGATCTCTAAGAATGACCCAAAAAACTAATATTTTATTCCAAACCATCGAAATAGTTTCAAGCATGGGGTACTTTAACCGGTGGACCAGATACGCCGGGAAATACATGCCTTGTATGAGAATTGCGGTAACTAATTCATTATTGGTACTGAACATATATCAGAACCGTAAATGCGGGCCTCTTCCATCAGGGAAATCATGAAATGTGTATATTAAATGAAGTTCTCTAGTTGAATCTGATTTATGTGCGTTTCTTCTAAGTGCATTAATCAAATTTACATACAAAGCTTGACGTCGGTTAACAAAAATAAGGTTGTTCTGCTGTAAAGTACTGAATCACAAATCACTGATGGCAACCTTTGGGCCACTGAGAAATAGATAGAAATTTGGTGATAGAAATTTATATATAGACAAATTGGGTTTGTGCATGTTTTCCAAGAATCTGGCTGTTGTAGAAACGACAATATGGTTCAAGACGGCGACTCCAAAAAACCCATACCTAAATGGGGGCGAAGCTCCTTAACTGGTACCTTGAGCGCCAATATCAGGCCTAAACAGCATGAGCTGTATTTTTCAAGATTATCTAGAGATTACAGAACCATGGATCTTTGAAGTGTTTATTCAGGCCTCCATAATTCTTTTATCGTAGAAGTTAACTAGTGCTCAGCTTAACGTTCACTGACCAGAATTCGAGTTTAAATTCTGATTTATTCACACCCGGGGCGCACTTTTGGCCGTCCCTTGTCATATTTCTTGTTTATACACAGCTTTTTATAATTATTCTTTTCGTTAAACACTTCCTAAACTCACATTTATTCCCTTTTATCGGAGTTGGTGTTTATGTAACGGTTACGCGGAGACTCCAACCGGTGGGAGTTTCGGTTCCACAAAGTGACTTTTCACCCACTACCTTTGTTCTTCAATGGGCGGCATCGACAGGTAAGTCGGTTCTGGCCTGGTCGTTTCGCTTGCCTTTTTTTCGACTTAGTCGTAGCGTGGGACCGCGTTATCGACCGACTAGTCCCGCTAAGGTGGTGGCCTCCAAAATAGGATGCGCTTCGCCTTTTCAAGCGTTTCCACTCACTGAAAATAGCCAGCCAACCATTGCGCAGTGTCGTACTGGTTCTTTCCTTGCGTGCACTTTCACTCAAATCTTGTCGCAGCCACGGGTATGGTGGACGTTCCTGCTAGTGGAGTCGATTCTACTAGCGCAGTAGCACCGTTTCTACCAGACTTCTGGACGAATGCACCTGAACTCTATTTCTTTTACATTGAGTTAAGTTTTTTCTCTGCGAACATTACCAAGAAGTTACCAAATTCCACAGGCTGGTTCAGGCTTTGTCGTTACAGGTTCTTTCTCCGGTTCAGTCCACAGTGCCCCAGCCGACCAACCATACAAGCTACTTAAGGCAGCACTCCTTCGACTTCATGCTGTGTCTGGTCGCCAACGGTGTCACCAGCTAACTCGCCAGGAGTGTGTGGGTGACAAAAAATCCACCGAATTTCTAAGAAGGATGCAAGGACTTCGTGGTAAGTTCCACATCGACGATAAACTTTTCAAGGAAATGTTCATGGGACATCCGCCAGCAGATGTTCGAACATTCTGACATCTGGCTCAGAAGATCTCTCGGTCTCACGACTAACCGAGGTGGCGGACAGGATGCTGGAGGTGCAGCGGTTCCAACCGTCCTCTGTCGCCCAGCTCTCCACTTCCTCGTTACCGACGTCAAGTGGGCAGTTTTCGACGCAGACGACGGCCATGACAGAAGAGATAGCGTCCCTAAAACTCCAGCTTGCACTTCTTATCTGTAATTGCTCATCTATCCGTCGTCGTTCTCGTTCGCGCCCTCAAACAGCCGATATTTGTTAGTGTGATACCGATTTCGATGCGAAGGCTCGTCGATGTTCCTCCCCCTGCTCGTTCATGTTCAAGCAGGGAAACCAGTCAGCCAGAGAATAGAGGCGCCTGTTTTCTCTGGCTCTTCCGGCTCTGGTCGCACCTTCTGTTTCTGCAACAGTGTGACACACAGACGGTTCCTAGTGGACACCGGAGTCCAAATCAGTGTTGTCCCTCCCCCTCTATCCGACTGTTGTTTTCCCAGCTCTGGCCTTTATCTCCAGGCCGTCAACTCTTCCACTATTCTCACTTTTGGCAGCCTGTCCCTAACGCTAGACATTGACCTTCGTAGGTCTTTCTTCGGGGTCTTTGTGGTTGCTGATGTTCCTCATGCAATCCTCGGCTCGGACTTTCTGGCCAAATTCGATCTCCTTGTCGACTGCCGACGATCCCGACTCCTCGACCGCACCACTGGTCTTTCTGTGCATAGTTTAACTCCCTTCACTACCTTCAGCAACTTATCTGTTCTAGATACACGCACTGCCTGTCCTTATCGGGGGCTGCTGCTTCAACACCCGAACCCGCAGTTTCGCAGTGGCGAGGTCCAGCATGATGTTGTGCATTATATCCGCATATCGGGTCCTCCTGTGTTCGCTCAGCCTAGACGACAAGCGCCTGCCCGCCTGCAGGCCGCGAAGGCAGAGTTTGAGCATGGGCTTCAACTGGGCATTATCCGACCGCCCGAAAGTCCTTAGGCGTCCCCTCTGCACGTGGTGTCCAAGGTGACATCGGGTGACTGGAGACCCTGCGGCGATTTTCGTGCCCTCAGTAAATCCGTCATTCCTGATCTGCGCCCTGTGCCACACCTTTAGGACTTCACCAGAGCTCTTTTTGGCGAAATGGTGTTCTGCTGCGTGCCTTTCATCAGATTCTCGTGGCCCCTGAGGATATCCCCAAGGCCGCCGTCGCTACACCTTACGGCCTCTTCGAATTAATTCGCATTCTCTTCGGTCTTCATAATGCCACTCAAACGTTCCAGATGTTCACTGACTATGTCCTACGTGGCCTACCGTTTGTGTACACCCTCACTGATGACCTCATTGTGGCCAGCCAGAATGCCGAAGAACACAAAGAGCACCTTGCCTTGGTGTTTTCCCGCCTCGGCACGTTTGGCGTTATCATCAGCTCCTCCAAGTGCGTGCTGGGTGTGCCTTCACTCGAATTTCTGGGTCATCATGTCGACTCTGAAGGTTTGCGTCCCCTGTCCTCCAAGATTGAAGCAGTTCGTAATTTCCCTCCTCCAACTGCCAAGCGTCAGTTACAGCGATTCCTCGGCATGGTCAGTTTTTACCGCCGGTTCCTACCGAACTGTGCTGACCTCATGCTGCCGCTCACCAACATGCTTTCTGGTCCCAAAGACACCCTTAAACTGACTGATGAAGCACTGACTGCTTTTAAGAGAATCAGTAATTCTCTTGCCGACGCCACCTTGCTCACGCAACCCGCTCCTGAATCGCAGCTGCCTCCGAGGATAGGTGCTTCGACCGTGACCGTAGGTGCAGTCCTTCAACAACAACTTGCTAGTTTGAATCGACCGCTGGTATTTTGATCCCAAAAGCTCTTGCCGGCTGAGACCCGCTGCAGTACCTTTGACCGTGAACTGCTTGTCAGTTATCTGGCTGTGAGGCATTTACGGTATTTCCTTGAAGGTCGTGACTTCGCTATTTTCACAGACTACAAGCCGCTAACTTTTGCTCTTCGTTCCCACTCCGACAAGTACAATTCGGGAGAGATTGTCCACGTGAACTATATCTCCCAGTTCGACACAGACATACGCCACATAGATGGCACGCAGAATGAGGTGGCTGATATGCTGTCCGGGCCCTCACTATCTTCCCTCCAACTCTCACACGGGGTCGACCTTGGCTTCATGGCGGCTGAGCAAAAAGAGTCTGTTGTCCTGGCGACGAGTCCGTTTATGGTCCCCAACTCAAAGAGGCTCTTCTGACCACCGATACTGTTGTCATAGTTTGTGACGTCTTAACTCCTTTTCATCGCCCGTTTGTGTCCACCTTGATGCGTCGAGCTGTTTTTAAACTCTCCATGAACTCTCCCACCTTGGGATCCGAGCCTCACAAATCTCCTCGCGGAAAGGTTCATCTGGCCTGACATGAACAAGGACGTCAAAGATTGGGCGCGTTCGTATCTAAATTGCCAGCGCAACGAGGTGCAACGTCACAACAAGTCCCCACCAGGCACTTTCCCCAACTCCGACGCACGGTTCAACCATGTGCACCTGGATGTCGCAGGCCTCCTGCCTCCATCCAATGACTATTCTCACCTTCTTACCTGCGTTGAACGGTACACCCACTGGGCTGAAACCAATCCTTTGTCAAATGTGCAGGCTGATACCACATAAAGGCCTCTTTAGTCGTTGGGTTGCTATGTTCGGTGCCCTCTCCACGGTTACAACTGATTGTGGTGCGCAGTTGGAGTCTGCACTCTTCCAAACTCTCCTCGATTTTTTTGACTGCACACGCATTCGGACGACGGCCTACCACCCAGCTGCCAAAAAGATGGTTGAGCGTCCCCATTGCCAGCTAAGGACTGTCCTGCACGGCGCAAGTCCGTTCCATCGTGCATAATTTCACACGCAAACCAACAATCGTGTTATGAGGGATAATGATGACCCTCATCGTTTGCAACCCACAGGCCATTTTGCCATGTCTGAGAAAGGGGAACAATTTTTCAAACTCATGGATGGAAATATGATCGTATTTTTCGACGTGGGGTTTCAGCGGACCTTTACCGTGAGGACGCAGGAAGAGATCCATTCCCAGACACGATGAACTGCTTTGCGCACGGAAGCACGTATAACTTCGACTGGGTAATAACGTCCCGAAACCACCCCAAAGTAACTAGTGAAGGCCTGTCCAACAACACCAGTGCTACTGACACTCGCAGAAAAGGAAAAGAAGTTACTACAAAGTCATGACAAAGACCTCACGGAAACATCCCGGAATCCCTCAAATCCTTGCAAACCGTCGTTTTCCGTCGGCTGCTATCGTTGTCTACTGTAAACAAGAGCTTACGTCTTCGTGACCAAAGTAACGTAGGCGCCAAAGTAAGACGACAAAAACTTAAATCCAAGACACAGTGGATTATGTCTACTGACGGACGACCACTTCCTACGTCAACCTCAACGCACGCTCAAGACCTGAATTGACCGTATTCTATAGCTCGGAATTCGGCAAAGAAATAGTCACCAGGTCGCATGGAAATAATGATAAGTTTGCTGAACGCCTTTAACCCCCCCATACTGCAAATAACAATGTCTAGCTTGGACTGGCTCGGTTCAAACTTTCCAAATCTACTGAAAATTGGAACAACTGAAAATCGGGGATTTCCGCCCGAAGTGATCAAACTCCTTAAACATATCTCTACTTCAATTATATTTCTGTATTTGAAATAAATGAGGTTTGGACTCTTCGTGGGTACTGTATTTCAACATTTAAATAACTAATGCTCATTTCTGTTTTTGCCCTTGTTTGAGTGACCCGAAAGCAGCAGAGACGCACTTTCGCTCACAGGCAACTTCACGGTTGGTGTGTAACAGTGAAATTTCTGCGATTAATCGGGACTTTCTCTTCTATATGGGACTGAAATAATTCTGCCGATCACTAGACCCGGCACAAAACATGTGTAAAGATACATACCACGTTGGTGACCAACGATTTCTAACATCTCTCGGCCCCCGAGTTTAAGGCAGAACTGTGCAAGCTTTCCGCTAACTTGATGGCTCTTCAACTTCAGCAGCCAACTGCACTCTCTGGCTCTCTCGTCGACCCTGTTGAGGGCAGTCATCATGGGCAGTCTGGCTGGTGTCATTGTTCGAGGCCCCGCTGCGCAAAGGTCATTTTACTCCTTGCATCGAGGCCATCCTGACACACTGACCTGAAGCCACTCGGCCGACTTCAGCTCGTACAGACCTGCGTCCACACAGTCGCAGCTGCCCATGCGGCCACTTGAACGCATCCCCACCCCTGCAACTAAAACCTAAGCCACTGGGACTCCACCTCTCGGCAACTGCAACACACACTGACTGGACACCACTTGCGCTTGGCCCACGTGCCTACAAAAGCGGCTGCCACCACCATCTCAGGGACTCTTAGGCGTGGCAGGCCTCAATCAACAACAGCCCTGGTTTCGCCAGCGGCCTCTGCCGCCTGAGAGGACGACCAAGCGTTCTGTACAAATCAAACCCCTCAATCTGGTGACATCTGTCTTTTCATACAACTAAGGATTTAGCCTGACGACTGTTGCGCTCTGAGTACACACTCTTTCACTGATGAGCCACCACAACCCCATGCTGTGTTCTTCGACGCTCTCGTTACCACCCGCGCAAAACAAGTTTCTGGTTGTGCCACTATAAGCTTCTGTGCAAAGACCCGACCTTTTATTTCGCCCTGTTCACTCCGGGAAAAGGAGCAACCCCGCACTCAGAAAATGATTGCCGCCGGTCTCTCTAGCCTCCTGGGGCTAGACGCTCCCTCTTATGTCTACAAGGGGTGTGGCAGCATGCTTGGGGCGGTTCCAGCCGCGCCAGCCACCTTTGTCCTCTACCACCTCCAGTCTTCTTGACTCTATCTCGACACCAAATCCAGATGGGGAGGAGAGAATGCGGTAGGTGTTGCGCAAGTCTACATTTACTATAAATTGAATCGCGTGCAAGTCACCGTGCGCGCTCTCACCCTGTTGTGGAGCACACGGTGGAAATCACCGGTAACGGCTGTCTACTTGCGTATGTCTACCCCAACCAGAGTGACAGACGGTTTTTGACGCCAAGTACGCGTGACCTACTGCTATCCCTCTCCCAGTAACTGACCGTCGGTGCCCTATCTGTGCTTTCTTCAGGCCATTATCACATACACCACCGTCATCTTCACTTCCTGCTTCCTCTCTCTCCTTGGATCTTATGGTTAATGGCATCCACAGTGCCATCCTTGTGGCATAATTGTTTATTATTTTTGGTCTTCCAGTCTAATGTCACCGGTTTTATCTTTATGAACAGTCTACTAATCTCACCATCCGTAATACCCTTTCCCCAGTACTTCGCTGAATCCTTCATATTGGCATTTGCAACAGATGTTTTGCAGATCGTCGACAAATCATTAATGCTGCCCAGAGCTTAAATTTGAGCCCTCTGAGCTGTGTGCTTATGTTCGAGTAAAGTAATTCCCCAACAACTTGGTCAAATGACTTCTTGTAATGTGGCACTCACAAATTCTCAGCTTTCACGAAAAATCTCGAAAATACTTAGAAGAAGCAAAGGGCATGGAGACGTCTCTCGAACAGACCCAGGCCAACGGCAGCAACTCTGGAACAAAATACGGCGAGGTCTGGTTCTACAGTCCTACTTGACTGATACCATATGGTTAGCTTGCTAAAACAATATGAGTTGACATACCTGACTTAGCTACCCACTGGATCAGGAAGGGAAAGAGAGCGCAAGCAGAACTCGAAGCACGCGCAGGGAAGCGAGTGAAGGTGGTGTATACATACTCTCCCTCAAAACAGCCACTCACTGAACTGAGAGGATAAGGAGGGCGTAATCACAACTGGAGGCCACGGAGGGAATCGCGTGGTTATTCGCAGTACATGGCTAGTGCGGTTTAACCGACGGAGTTCCTCGCCGTCTGAACAATTCCACTAGCCAGTCTACTTAGCCGCTCGCTGGATTAAGATGATAAAGAGGACACAAGCAGGACCCGCAGCACGCGCTGGGAAGAGCGTTTAAAATGATATCTGAAGTAATCGAGGATGGCGTATAAGCACTCCTACCCCCATGGCATAATCACTCGCTGGATTAAGGTAGCAAAGAAGGGCAAATACGTGATGGTTATAAAGTCGGCGTACTCGCAGCTACTGAATTTTTTTAAAAAGCTTGCCATATGGCATCATTCAGGTGAGGCTACAGGACCAAATCTTGCCCAAAATACGTTAGGGATCGCATATGTTACCCACTTCCTGACTAGACACGGGAATAGGGACCTCCCGTAATGCAAGATGCTTTGCGCTGAATCCTAGCGAAATTAGGGCTTGGGTTGGGCTAGGGTTACGCTTAAGGTTTAGGTTAGGGTTAGTATTAGGTATTTGATGCGAGCGTAAGTAATTTTGAACTTTAGCTCATTTCCATCTGTATTATGGGGGACATTCATATTACCGTGTCCTGTTGTGATGCACATAAGTTACCCATACCCATAATACACACATGACTCTAACTTGGCAACCAAGTTTGACACAATGACTTCAGAAACCCTAAAGGGCACATGTTTTCTCATTTTCCGCAAAATATAACATACAATACCGCATACCAAAGTATTTCAGCGCCCCATGAACACATTGCGTGGCACTACTAGCTGCGGCTAGACATCGTCCGTATACCATTTTCAGTAGCTGCGTCATGAAGCTAAAATTCCTAGTGAATAGCGATGCGGAGTCAGATTTAATATCTAGAATCCTATTCAGCAATTACTCTTGCAGGTACTCAGGTCTAATAGCAATAAAACACAAAGTGCGAGTACATGATAGAGGTCACTTGGGCCACGGGGAAATCAGTTACGTCAAATCATGATTTTAAGCATTGCACTGGGTCAGGCCTTTGAGATATTAGTCCAAAGGTAAACGTCGGGGCTGTGTGGGGGGGGGCAAGAAAGTTTGGGAATTGACCGTGGCTCGGTACCCCGGCGGCACTTCACTCAAACAGTTTACTGAACTCCTATTCTGATTCCGAGTGCCGAGCAGTTATCCACTAATCCACAGTGCTTCTCTTATGTTAATGATAATTGTCCCCTTGATATGGAATTTCTCGTTGCTACCGCCATCTCCGATTATGAAATCTTGTAGCCTAGTGCGTCTCCTGCCATTCACCGTTTTTCTTTATTCTGAAATAGGCAATGAAGGAAATTGTCTTTTTGTTGTCTACATGACAACCCTAGGGATGCGCGT